TAGTAACGATAACCCTATATGCAAGACAGCAAAAAAGACACAGATGTATAGAACAGTCTTTTGGACTCTGTGGGAGAGGGCAAGGGTGGGAAGATTTGGGAGAAAGGCATTGAAATATGTATATTATCATATGTGAAATTAATCGCCAGTCCAGGTTCGATGCATGGGACAGGGTGCTCGGGGCTGATGCACTGGGATGACCCAGAGGGATGGGATGGGGAGGGAAGTGGGAGGGGGGTTCAGGATGGGGAACACATGTACCCATGGCTGATTCATGTCAATGTATGGCAAAACCACTACAATATTGTAAAGTAATTAGCTTCCAATTAAAATGAATAAATTTATTAAAAAAATAAAATAAATGCTACACTTCACAATGAAGATATCATTTAAAACCATCAGAAATCCCATGAGGCAAGGATTCATCTCCATCCCCATCCCCCTGATTATAGGTGAAGGAAAAGAAAGGGAGTTAGAAGGTTTCTCACTTGCTAAAGATCACACTCAGCTTGCCCACTAATCTAGGGCTTCTCTCTTCCTCTTCACCATCCTGTTGGACAACCTTTCTCAGGAGCCACATGTCACAGGCTCAGCCCACAATGCTGTCCTCCATCCTGTTTTGTGAGCAGCTCTCCTCTAGAACAGTGGCTCTCCCTATCCCTGGAAAGCACTTGACCTACCTCTCTGCTTCTCCTCCCTCCTTTCCTTCCACCCACCCCCACCTCAAGCATTCAGTAGCCCTCCAGAATCCTTCTTGCCTTTGATGATTTTAGCAACTACTAAAACAACTCCTCTGAAATGTAAAGAGGGAAGACAAGAGGTCTTTTGAGAAGACATAGTGAACAAAAACAAAGAATACAAATGCTTTCTCAAAGCATTTTGTCAGTGCTACCACTTGAGACAGACACAAGGTAAAAAATGAAACCTAGGCTTCTAAACACCAAGGCCTGACACCCTTGCTGAATGAAGGACCTGCATTGTTTCCACCACATTCTTTCAATATCAATGCATAAGGCAGGCTCTCCTTTGGAAAAGTTGGACTATTATGGCAACCATTCATCATCCCTTCCTTCATTCATTAATGTAGCCATTCAGACTACAGATTTCTCTTTTACTCATCCATTCAACTCAATCATCATTGGGTTCTATATGAGGGATACAAAAAAAAATGACTTTCAATTCCTCCACAAGGAGTCCAAGTTTAGAAGAAAGACAGATATATACATAAGTAATTATGGGAAAATATATGTTTAAGTGCAGTAGTACATGGATACACAAAGAGTTACAGGTGACATCCAGGAGAAATACAAACATGCTTTTGGGAGAAGTTAGGGAAGATTTCTCAAGTAATAGGATGACCAAATTGAATCCTCAAGGAATAAGGCTGAAAATGGGATGGTAAAGGTAGGGAAAGAATCTGCTATGGAAAACAAAGGCAAGAGCATGATACATTTGGTGAGCAACAAATGGTTCAATAGCCAGAATGAAAAGTACAAGTGAACAGACTAGGACAGTGACCAGACTAGAATGGTTACTGAGCACTCATGAAAGACCTTGTGAACCATAATCATAATTTGGGTTTTATACTGACACCTGGGAATTTTAAGCAATGGAGTAACTTGACCAGGTTTGACCTTCAGAAGGTCTCTCTGTCCCTGGAGAAAGGATTGGTGAAGGAAGGCAAGCCTGAAGGTAAGGAGGTAATTATGGATGGATCCGGAGTGTTTTAGTCACTAAGTCATGTACAACTCTTGTGACCCCGTGAACTGTAGCCCACCAGGCTCCTCTGTCCATGGGATTTTCCAGGCAAGAATACTGAAATGGGTTTCCATTTCCTTCTCCAGGGGATCTTCCCAACTCAGGGATTGAACCCAGGTCTCCTGCAGTGCAGGCAGATTCTTTACCAACTGAGCTACTAGGGAATTCCATGGATCTGGGGCAATTACCCAAAACTTGCATGTTATCAACCTGAACTGAGCAGTACCTTGGGACTACAGCGATAAGAGGAAGAATCTACAGAACTTAGTGGTTGAAAATGGAAGATTAGAAATAGGAAGTGCCATTGTTTGAGATGTGGCTCTCAGGCAGTAAGGAAAGAAGACTTTTGGACAGCTTTGCAGATGGTAAGGCAGAAGAGGCATTCCCAAGATCCTGGTCCCCACCTTTCCAATTCTCTCCATTCACCTTCTCCTCAGCTAAGTCAGCAATGAAATTTCAGATGGAGATGGCCCTGCTCCCAACAAATCCTTTATAGACTCTTAGCAGAGAAACATATAGCATCATCTGTTTGGCTGGAATATCATCTCTCTAAGGAATTTTTCCCTGCTAACTGATTTAAACCACTCTTTTAACTATCTAGTACATTTCTACCTTGTCCTTTTTAATAGCTCTTTTCCTCTTTGATGTTATCCAAGCACGAGAATGTAAAGGATTTTGTTTATTTGCTAATGTATATCCAGCACCTGGACTTCCCAGGTGGCTCAGTGGGTAAAGAATTCACTTGCAATGAAAGAGATGCAGGCAGACAGAGGTTCAATCCCTGGGTCGGGAAGATATCCTGAAGGAGGGCATGGAAACCCACTCCAGTATTCTTGCCTGGATAATCCCATAGACAGAGGAGGCTGGTGGGATACAGTCATAGTGTTGCAAAGAGTCGGACATGACTGAAGCAACTGAACACACACGCATGCACACATCCAGCACCCAGAGCCATGTTTGATACATAGGCAGGTCACAATTAATATTTATTGAATGAATGAATGAAGAACTCTGTGAACAACTATAAAGGGCAATTATCAGTAACTCAGAGAAATTACTACCCTCTACTCACCCATCTGGGAGACCATGGCCACGAACAAGGGAACAATCAGCCACTCAACATTCAATGAACTCTTGGCAACTTGGTCCCATTGACACACTGCTGCTCAGCTGTGACTCTGTCTTGGAGGTTAAAGAGCCAGTTTTTAGGATGCTGATTCCAGCCAGATCCAAAATGACCTAAATAATAAGGTCTGAAATTCAACTAGAGAAGAGCCAAATCTTGAATTCTCTCCAAATGCAAGATGCTACTAATCCAGCTGGGTTTTTGAATGAAACTTCAAAGGAAAGAAACACAGTGAGCTTCCACCATACACTTGCTAGAATGGCTAAAAATGTTTTTTTTTAACAACAATATCAAATTTTAGCAAAGACATGAAGCAACTGGATCTTCTAGACTTTGTTGGTGGGAATAGAAAATGGTATAGCCACTTTGCAAAAACAGCTTGGTAGTTTCTTATAAAGTTAAACATTCACTTAGTATTTATTCAGCAGTCCAACTCTTTGGTATTTATGCAAAATAAATGAAAATGAATGTTCACATCAAAATGTGTACATGAATGTTCCCTGCAATTTTATTCCTGGTAGCCAAAAAAAAAAGGTAGCAACTCAAATGCCCATCAGTAGATGAATAGTTTTAATTTAGTTTGGGCTTCCCTGGTGGCTCAGTGGTAAAAAAAAAAAAAAAAAATCCGCCTGCAATGCAGGAGCCATGGGATCAATCCCTGGGTCAGGAAGATCTCCTGGAAAAGGAAATGGCAACCCACTCCAATATTCTTTCCTGGGAAATCCAACGGACAGAGGAGCCTGGTGGGCTACAGTCCATTAGGTCACAAAGATTTGGATAACTGAGCAACAAGCAGACACACATAGAAATATGAAGTTTATAGTGCTATAAAGCAGACTGATGGTTCCCTAAGGCTGGGGTGGGTAGTGAGGAGTATTCCCTGCAAAGGCACACTATGACATTTGAGGGTTGATGGAAAGTTCTGTATCTTGAATCCTGTGGTGGTTATTTAAGTATATATAATTGTCAAATCTCACTGAACAGTACATTCAAAAAAGGGAGTCCTTTATTATATTATATCTCAATAAATTTGGCTTATAAATATGAAAGAAAAAAATTTAAGTAAAAACAGCATCATCCCAGCTTTATTTTTAAACATGTTTAGAAGGAGTCTGGAAAGATACATATCAGTAATAAACTCTAAATGGTGATAATTCAGGTAGCTATTATCCTTTCTTTATATTTTTCTGCATGTTTTCATATTTTTAGGGATCATCACTTTGCTTATATTCAGAAAACTTGTTTGTTGAATGAAACTGTTTTGTGGGAATGAAAATAAATGTTCTCCCAGGGAAAGAGCTGAATTTGTTTTATTCCACGTGTAGTTTAAAATCATGTTCAGCAAAAAAGAGTTGAATTAACTATCCTCTGAATTTTAATATTCCAACTGGACTCTCACACACCTGAGCCTGGTTCTACCTAGCAGATGTACGCTCACCCTTCTCATCCCTGGGACTGGAGCAGAAGAATTACAGCACTATCCCGGGTGTGAAAAACTAACCCAGAAAAGGAGACTTTGCCAAATCATGAGGCTGGAGGAAGAAACTGGACTTCCCAGAACATCTTTAGAAACTGTGCTCATAAGGTTTTGCCACAGGTATCCCTTCCACTCAGAACCAAGCTTGTTTTACCAAAGCCTCCTCTCCCAACTTTGCGAGAAAGTTCTAACCAATCCAGAAGCCTACCTGCAGAACTATATTGCAGAAGGCAGACGTGCCCTCCCTCAAGGTTAAACTTGACCGGTATCAGCAGTTACCTGCAAGCTTTCAAAATGCAGGTCCCAGGGCCCCCACTCTAGAGCTAAAGGATCAAACGTCTGGCCCAAATTTTTAAATCCTTCCCAGGTGAATCTCACGCAGTACCTAGAAGCTTTAATATATATCTGGGGTTTTGTTAAAAACAGATTGCCAGACCACACCCCTGTGGATTCTGATCCTGCTTGTCTCAAAGAGCTCCAGAATCTCCATGTTTAACTAGCCCCCAGGTGATTCTGATGCAGGTGGTCTAGAAGCCACGTTTCAAAACCCTGATTGTGAATGCCAGAATAAATTTTCCTGGCCCAGTGCCCAAGAGGGAGCCAAGGAAGAGGCAGAAGAACTACTTTGGTTATGCCAGCACTCTTGAATTTATTAAGTTAACTGAAGAGAAATTTTCGCATCTCAAAGCAGCAGAAAAGCCAGCCAAGGAGGAGGGGTCAGTCCCAAAGCCACCTTGAATAAGATGCTCTTTCAACTTCATGAAAGAAAAAAAAAAAGTCACAGGGGTTCACCCTTTGACCTTCGGGTACCACTGTGGGTGGGACCCAGGTTTCACTTCTCATCAGCATGTGGCTCTTGTTCTCAGCGCATTGAAAAGCCAGGGCAGGCTTTGGAGAACAAGCCTTCAGCTACAGGTTAACACGAGAGGCAGGATACCGTCTCGGTGGGGCGGGGAGGGAAGGTCCTGGACACAAGGCGGTCTCCACCTGGAGCAGGTGGAGGTTCTCCATTGGGCTGCCTCAGTGGCGGGAGGAAAGGTCTTCATTTGGTCTCGCAGACAGGCGTGGGCTGGCAGCACACGGGGCCGCAGCACCCAGAGGGGCCGCAGCAACTGGATCCACAGCAGCTCCCGCAGCAGCTCCCGCAACCTCCGCAGCCTCCGCAGCCCCCGCCGCCCCCGCAGCCAGATCCGCAGCAGGAGGACCCGCAGCAGCTGCCCCCGCAGCCTCCGCAACCCGAGCCACAGCCACAGCAGGAACCGCAGCAGGAGCCGCAGCAGCCGCAGCAGGACGGCTGGCAGCAGCACACTTCACAGCAGTCTTGCTCTTCAGCACAGCAGCCGAAGCATTCCCCTGGGCAGCACCCCATGGTCCCCGCCGGTCAGGTCGCAGGTCAGGACCGCGACCAGAGTTCCCCAAGTCTGATGGTCGCCAACCCGACAGCAGCTTTTATATCCCCTCCTGGAGGGTGTTGGCACGAGGGACAGGATGTTGTCTTTGTTATTATTTATGCCAGTTCTCATAAGAACGTCTCATTAGCTGCCTGTTTATTTTCCAGCCCCGAGTGCCTCAACTCATAAAATAGCCCCACTCGTCCCAACTGCTGTTTGTCCAAAGGGTAAAAATACATCTTGGCAAAGACCTGTGATCATGCCAAGCAGGGGCCAGCTGTCATTAGCCCAGGTTGGAGAGAGGAAGGGAAGCCGGCTCCAGACTCTGGTTCTGAAACGGGTGCTACCCTTCCACATCGGCTCTAGAGGTAAGCTGGCAATGAACCTTCTTGTCATGGATGCTGGTCCTGGAAAACCAGAACTGAAAGTTGGATGTCCTCTGCTTTTCTGCCCTAGGCAGAGGCTGGTAGGGTGGTCTGTCATGTGGCTCCTCCCAGGTACAAAGGGCACCCTCATCCTGGTCCGTGTGACCAAGGCAAATATTTGTCTGTGTGTGGTATGTGGCATGTGCCACAGGTTTGTTTAGGCTTGGTGAGTGAGCATCAGTCACCAGTCATGACTTCCCTATGAAATGGAGAGACACTCATCATAAAACTGTAAGAGGTTGGGAGCCACATTCTCGCTGAACTGAACATTCACTCTTCTTCTCTCTAAATGGGCTAGAAAAGCAGTGGTCAGAGCCTGCAACCCTCTTGCCCCAGCCCTTTCCTTGATAGAAGCAGGTGGTGGTGGCGGTGATGATGATGGTGGTGAAGATGGAGGAGGAGGAAGAGGTGGGGAGAGAGAGGAAGGGAGGAAGGAAGGAAAAGAAGCAGGGATGGGGCAGGGGAAAGAGGAAGGAGGGAAAAAGGAAGCAGATCATTGACTATCCAAAACATTCCATTAAAATGAAAGTGTTGCACATTTAAGAGCTCCAACTTTATCGACTATCTAGCAGAATGAGAGATTAGCCCACAAAACATCAAGAGTATCATCTCAAGCAATACAATTCCTTTAGAAAGTGACTAGAATCCACAGAGGATTCTGGTCCATGTGTTAAATTCTGAGATGAGTCAAAATTCCTGTCTCCATTTTGGGCTTTGGTACCTTGTCATCCTCTTGGAATGATAAAGGCAGTCTGGTGCCTGAAGATTCTGTGTGGCAACTGGCTCATGGTGGACATCCTCAAAAAGGTACATGGTCCTCTCTTTTTCTCAGCCACAATCCTCCCTCTGATGGCATAGCTGATGTATTCGAGTTCTCCCTGTTTTGCATGAATTCTGCACCCACCACCCCATTCAGGAGGCCCAAGATCTTCTCTGTCTGACTACCCAATTTAGTCCACCTCCGAAAGTCTATTTTGAATTGCATAAGCTAAGCATTGACTTGAGTCTTTCTCTCTGCATTCACACAGTAAGAACCCTGCTCCACTGATGCCCAAGTAAAGAGGAACGAGCAGTGTTGAAAGAAATTTCAGAAGAAAGATAAGAAAAAGTGAATACCTCAAGGTTTCCTCCTAACATATATTTTTTAAAAATTGAAATCATACTGTGTTAATTGATTTTACACTGAAGATTGTGCTTAACCTGTGAAAATGCTCATGAGTATGTAGATTATTAAGTATTATGAAAATTTGAGAATTTACATCTTCAAGTTGATATAAACCTTCCCTATTGTTGAATATCTAAGCTATTTACAACTGTCCAATGTTAAAAGCAAAACACTGAGGTGAATTTCCTTAAATGTGAGTCTTTATGCGACAGCCCTCAGATTGGGAGAAAATAATAGCAAACGAAGCAACAGACAAAGGATTAATCTCAAAAATATACAAGCAACTCCTCCAGCTCAACTCCAGAAAAATAAATGACCCAATCAAAAAATGGGCCAAAGAACTAAACAGACATTTCTCCAAGGAAGACATACAGATGGCTAACAAACACATGAAAAGATGCTCAACATCACTCATTATCAGAGAAATGCAAATCAAAACCACAATGAGGTACCATTACACGCCAGTCAGGATGGCTGCTATCCAAAAGTCTACAAGCAATAAATGCTGGAGAGGGTGTGGAGAAAAGGGAACCCTCTTACACTGTTGGTGGGAATGCAAATTAGTACAGCCACTATGGAAAACAGTGTGGAGATTTCTTAAAAAGCTGGAAATAGAACTGCCATATGACCCAGCAATCCCACTTCTGGGCATACACACCGAGGAAACCAGATCTGAAAGAGACACGTGCACCCCAATGTTCATCGCAGCACTGTTTATAATAGCCAGGACATGGAAGCAACCTAGATGCCCATCAGCAGACGAATGGATGAGGAAGCTGTGGTACATATACACCATGGAATATTACTCAGCCATTAAAAAGAATTCATTTGAATCAGTTCTAATGAGATGGATGAAACTGGAGCCCATTATACAGAGCGAAGTAAGCCAGAAAGATAAAGACCATTACAGTATACTAACACATATATATGGAATTTAGAAAGATGGTAACGATAACCCTATATGCAAAACAGAAAAAGAGACTCAGATGTATAGAACAGACTTGTGGACTCTGGGAGAAGGCGAGGGTGGGATGTTTCAAGAGAACAGCATTGAAACATGTATATTATCTAGGGTGAAACAGATCACCAGCCCAGGTTGGGTGCATGAGACAAGTGCTCGGGCCTGGTGCACTGGGAAGACCCAGAGGGATCGGGTGGAGAGGGAGGTGGGAGGGGGGACTGGGATGGGGAATACATGTAAATCCATGGCTAATTCATTTCAATGTATGACAAAAACTACTGTAATGATGTAAAGTAATTAGCCTCCAACTAATAAAAATAAATGGAAAAAAAAAGTGAGTCTTTATGCATTTTCCTATTATCTTTCTATAGTAAATTCCTAGAAATAAAATTACTAAATCTTCAGCATGTTAATAATATGATGACTACTAATATATATTTTAAAAATTATTTATTTTCTGAAAAACTGTCTCCATTTGCACCCATTTCACAGTACATTCACCAATGCCAGCTGTTTTTTTAGTCTCTGTGTCAATTTGATAGACCAACCATGAAATCTCATTGCTATATTTTTGTACTTATTTGTCACTGCATTTCTTTAATAAATAACTTTTTCTTCTTTAAGAAATTATCTGCTCATGCCAGTTTTCTGATTAAGCTACTAATCTTTCCTAGCATATTTATAAGAGCTTATTTTATGCTAAGTATACAATTTTCCTTTCTGTCACTCACACATGTTGTAAAATTAGTCCAAGGCCATCATTTCTTTTTAATTCTATGGTTCTTTTGTGCACCAAATTTTCTTTTTACATAGGCACACTGTCAGTCTTTTCCTTTCTACTGTTTTATGCTTTGAAAGTTCTTCCTTATCTCCAAAATATACAATTATTAACTTTATTTTCTCCTAGTTTTCTTAGTTTTTTTTTCATATGTGTGTACATTACCCACTCAGTAGTGTCTGATTCTTTGCGACCCCATGGACTGCAGCACGCCAGGTTTCCCTGTCCTTCACTATCTCCCTGAGTTTGCTCAAACTCATGTCTGTTGGGTCAGTGATGCTATCTAACCATCTCATCCTCTGCCACCCCCTTCTCCTTTTGCCTTCAATCTTTCCTGGCATCAGGGTCTTTTACAATGAGTCAACTCTTTGCACCAAGTGGCCTAAGTGTGGAATTTAAGCTTCAGCATCAGTCCTCCCAATGAATATGCATTTCTTTTTCTTTGGGATGGTTTTGGTCGCTGCCTCTTGTACAATGTTACAAATCTCTGTCCATAGTTCTTCAGGCACTCTGTCTATCAGATATAATCCCTTGAATCTATTTATCACCTCCACTGTATAAACATAAGGGATTTTATTTAGGTCATACCTGCATGACCTAGTGGTTTTCTCTACTTTCTTCAATTTGAGCCTGAATTTTGCAATAAGGAGCTCATGATCTGAGCCACAGTCAGTTCCAGGTCTTGTTTTTGCTGACTGTATAGGGCTTCTCCATCTTTGGCTGCAAAGAACATAATCAATCTGATTTTGGTATTGACCAACCATCATATCAGTGATGTCTGTGTGTAGAGTCATCTCTTGAGTTGTTGGAAAAGCACACTTGCTATGACCAGTGTGTTATTTTGACAAAACCGTTTGCCCTTCTTCATTTTATACTCCAAGGCCAAACTTGCTTGTTATTCTGGGTATCTCTTGACTTCCTACTTTTGCATTTCAATCTTCTATGATGAAAAGGACTTTTTTTTTTTTTTTGGTGTTAGTTCTAGAAGGTGTTATAGGTCTTCATAGAACCAGTCAACTTCAACTTCTTAGGCATCAGTGGCTGGGGCATATACTTGGTTTACTATGATGCTGAATGGTTTGCCTTCGAAATAAACTGAGATCATTCTATTGCTTTTGAGGTTGCACCCAAGTACTGCATTTCAGACTCTTTTGTTGACTATGAGGGTGACTCTATTGCCTATAAGGGATTCTTGCCCACATTAGTAGATATAATGGTCATCTGAATTAAATTCATCCATTCCCATCCATTTTAGTTTACTGATTCCCAAGACATTGATGTTCAATCTTGCCATCTCTTGCTTGACCATGTCCAATTTACCTTGATTCATGGACCTAACACTCCGGGTTTCTATGCAGCATTGTTCTTTATAGCACTGGCCTTTATTTTCACCACCAGACACATCCACAACTGAGCATCATTTCCACTTTGGCCCAGCTGCTTCATTTTTCCTGGAGGTGTTAGTAATTGCCCTCCACCCTTCCCCAGTAGCATACTGGACACCTTCCAACCTGGGGTCTCATCTTCCAGTGTCATATATTTTTGCCTTTTCATGCTGGTCATGGGGTTCTCCAGGCAAGAATACTGGGGTGGGTTGCCATTTCCTCTTCCAATGGACCACATTTTGTCAGAACTCTTCAATATGATCTGTCCATCTTGGGTGGCCCCACAGCATGGCTCA